CGATACGCCGCGTGTCGGCCGAATGCAGTTTCGAACTTCGTGCAAAAGTGAAAGCGGTCTCATCGCGTCCTTGATAAAAAATTTAGATTAAAGATTTCTCTAGCCGGGGCATGTCACATCACTCAAGATTACGTTTAATGGACTTCCATTAAATTAAGATACCTTCGGAACGTGTGGCCGCGCGCAGCACCCGGCGTCGCTTGCACAATTTTGCAGTTTCTCCGCGAGCGGTGTAAGCTAATCGAATCGTCCCTCGTGAACTCGCTCATTTATTACGGAATCGTTTCTCTATTTACTTTGTCGCAAGTACATCGCAGGTTCATCATTCATCGCGGATAGCGAGTCTCCGCGAGCGGCGATGATTGGATCCGGCAAAATTAAATGTGATGAATAGTTACAAAGCAGATTACGTTCTGCATACGTTGTGCACAAACGGATACCTTGGCAATTATATAATTTATTATATCGTACAGGATGCCCCAGAACTGTCGTTCCACTTTGCGACTGTGAGGGCTTGATTTCCTTACCTTGTAACATTTTCATCGTCTTTTATCAAGATTCCTTAATCTACAAAATATCGTTGCATCGTAAATCGTCGTCACAGAAGCTTTTGTTCCTAAATTGATTTCCAGTCAGAAAGAAAAGCGCGTCTCTCAAATATAATACATCCGAGATACTGGCAATACCGATGTCTTGTAATTGCATGACTATCATTGTTAGCGAAGGTGGCTCGCCACAATGATTCAATTTCTATATTTAGTTGATCCGCGAACATAAATACCGAACAGCTGATCCGAGTTCCGTTAGCGCGTGGCCGCCTAATCGCGCGGCATGAAATTTATTTCGAAGCCGGATCGCGGTGGCGAGATTGCCGCGATCGTATGTTGACCAGAAAGGACTAGGCGGACTGTGGAGTAAAGATAGAGACGATTAGATCGTGGCGACAATGAGAATAAAGAGTGAACAGGCGGAAAAAAAAGAGATATCGAGATATGGATATAATATACGAGAGACGTAGCGAGAGACAAAGGATGGAGAGCGTAATCAGGTGCCGAGGAGAGAAGCCAACCGCGAGAGAGGGAGAGAGAGAATGGTTAATCTGCAAATGAGATCGTTGATAGAGTTACGACGCAAATGGAATGGAATCGGAGCCAAGGGTGTGGAGGACAAGGCGGATACAATGCCGATCCCATTGTGATTATTATTGGATCGCAGTGGTGCATTAGAATTCGTCGGCGCAGACCGTCAATGCTGCGGTCTAATCGGCTTGGATCTGTCAATAATCCAGAAGGATGCTATTAATTTTCGATATTACGCCGCGAGTCGTTTGTGCATTAGGAAGGATACCGCGCAGCTCCATTCGAATTGACGAAACGTTAGAGCGATCTTTAATACGAGAATCGGATTTAAAGCGTGACGGTCGAATCGATTCTTTCGGAAAAGCAGCCGAACGAATCGTTATCCATACGAAATAATTGCAAATTCGCGAAAATGAGAAAGTTTTACACATTTGCAACACAAAATGCGACACTTTCGTATGGCATATAAAGTTATCGTATTTTTCATTCTTATCTATTCGCACGATAAAAACCCCTTTTTTTGTATGGAAATATGGAATATTTTTTATACGGAAAACTTTATGCACGCATTTAAAATGTAAACAGGATGTTACAAGATGAGAGAGGTAGGTAGTTATTAAATCAAGAAAATAATAGGTGTTACATATTTTAATACTTGATATAGAATGCATAATTAATGCGATATCAGGAATCCGAGAAAAATTCCACGCGTAATGCAGGAAGGTGATAAAAAAAGAAAAAAAGAAAGAGAAAAACATGAAACAACAACCGTGAGACCGTAAAATGGAGCGCAGGGCTAAAAATCCGATGCGATGCACGAAGAGCATCGCGTGCACTTTCCCTCTCGCAATCAACTTCTCACCGCCACCATTATCGGTTATTACCCATTATTTGAAAATATTAAGAAGTATTTTGCGATTCATTACTTTTGCCGAGAAAGTGTCGTAATAAGTTGGAATAATGAAGTGTATAATTCCGCGTGCGCGTGTACGTACTCGCACACGTAATTGCACATGTGCGTATTCGCACCTGGCCTTTTACCCAGCACCACCGGCCCCGGCTTAATAAAAGCGCTCCGAACGCGCGGCGATATCGCTCGCCGCAAGTATATACAATTATTCAACGGATTAATTACGGTATTTGCCAGTACCGGTAATAATCGGTTATTTACGATTACGGCAAACGTATCACTTGAAAAAGAAAAGAAAAAAAGGGCGGGGGGGGGAGAAACCAAAGGGGGGATACACTCCAGTTTTTGTGCAATTTAACTTCGTTTCCTCGAATTATAGTTTACTGAATCACCTTTATGCACCGCGTTACGACATTTTAATTGGCGGTATGACGCATCGATATAGACGATTAATTTGCTAAGACTTTTTTGTTACTGGCTATATTATTAAAATTCGACTTAGTTTGTTATTTCGTTCGAGTAATTACGATAATTCCAAAATGTCCCGTCGCGAGATCATTATTCCTCCCATTTGAGCTCCAATTAGCATTAATTAATTTTAATAAGTATTCGGGCGCAACAGAACTCGGACATGCATTGCGTATGTTTAATATCGTGACGAGTTTCATTATAGCGACGAGGAACGATATTATCTTTCCTCGATCGTTCGAAAAAATCCGTCCGCCTTATCGCGCGTCGTCTTGCAGGTGGATGCGGCACAAAAACTTTTTGTAGAGAACACTGCCCTAATTAAATGAGTGTGCAGCTGATGTCTCCAGCACTCGAACGCACTCTCTCCCATCGTATCGGCTATGCATTTTCTCGTCCTCGAAACATAAGCGGGACAAATTCATTACGAGGCTGCAGAGTCGGCAAATTAATGAATATTGCGCGCGTCAAAGTTGAAAAATGTGTCCTCTATTTGCGCATCTGGCGCGAAAGGAACCACTTTGGCGCGACTGAAGGCCAAGATAATGGAAACAGTCCTACGTGTTTGTGGCCTAGAAACCGCCGCGGTTTCGCGTACGCGCGAAGAAGAAAGCGCGCGAGGTCGCGAGGGGGACCGCGGAGATCCGGGTTTCCTGGAAATAGCAGCCTCCGTCTGGCCCCCGCGATTGGTCATAATCGGCGAGCTGATTTAATGCGCAGACTGGTTTAGCAAGGTTCTGCCGACAATGACAAAGAAGACGCGCGGCGCGACGTCCGCTCGCAAATTAGCACCGATCCCTTCAACCTTGGTCCCGGCCGCAGCTAACCGAACTTCCTTTCCCTTCGCGTATAAATGGCAACTAAAATCGTCGGAATATGAGCAAAGAATTCAAATAACAATAAAGCCTTTAGATGCCAGCGAGATGCCTAGAGAACGACGAAGAGAGAGGAGTGTGGCTTTGATGATATCTTTTTGACATTTGAGTTGTCTAGAAAAATATTAGATTTCAGAATATATGGTCATAGGAGAAAGGTTCATCATTCACGCGGCTTCTTCGGCGATCATCAGAGCGTATAAATCAATAGTTGAAAAAATTTTAGTAAATAATTAGAAAATTATTGCCTCAAAATAATTAGAAAATTATTGCCACGTATTCCAACTCGTAAAACTCGTCGCTGTAGTATTTTAACATTGTTCCAACGCGGATATTTTTAAGAAAATTGAATTGTCCAATATTTTTAAACCAGGTCGCTGACTTGTCATCCACTCTACGACTCCATTATATAAGCGTCTCGGGAGCTGCAAGTCCCGCTCGAGAAAGTAATCCGATTGTGTTCGAGTAGCACGTGCTCGGCAAGAGATTATCGTCCGGCGGAGTGTCAAAATTAAACGATCGATGAGGTCGCCGGGACAAACCTGTTGCTAACGCGACAGAATCTCCGTGTGACGCAGACAACCGACGGCAAAAGGGAAGCTTTTAACGAACGCGCGCGCGCGCGCGCGCCAGCGTGCTTTAGCTTAAATATTTACTCGAATAATCGCTAATAAATCACGCCACCTTTATCGCGAGGACAAGCGGCCGCCGTGTCGAAGATAAATCGATGCCGAGTTTATTGGCTCGCCGATCGGAGATAAACTGATTTTGTCCGCTGACGTCAAAATAATTTCTCAACCCGACACGGTAAGATTCCGAGTGGCGACATTAATACACGCTGATAATCAGTGTTTTAAGCGATGCATGTTCCTTTCTCGCTGGTCAGCTACAACGACTCCAATTAAATCGAATCGAAGACGTGTGGTTGCATCAATGTAGAGATGTTTGTCTTGCAAACGTGTTTTCTTTTTTCTTTTTTTTTTATCAATTCGCTGCAGTTTTTTGAGGGAATTAAAGGAGAAATCTGTCCGAGACCGAATAAATTGCACAGCGTTATTCTGTTCGCGCAGCAAAACCTTACAAGTTAAATGATAGATGATGGAACCTGTCGCTAATTCTTCATTCCACGTCGCGATCGTATCGGTGCGTATCATTTAACGCGATTATCAATGCTTTAATGACACGAGACTTGAAGTTTGTATTAATAATTGCTTGTAGCAAGCGGCACAAAGTACTGAACTCGAATGTATTCGAATCAATTAAACGTTCTTAAGTATCTTTTTCTCATTATTGACTGTCGTAAACTATCATTATTCTATTTCTAAGCATTTAAATCATAATGAAGGTAGACATATACATATGCATGTGCCAGTTAATTAACTCGTTTAATTAAAAACACGGAAATCCAAAGGCATTCTGACGCCGACAATGAGCGTGTTTCGTAAAAAAGTTCACGTAATATAAGAGAAATATTTTTCGAAATTTTAAAAAGTTGCAGATATCCGTGCCGCCTCTTGAATTTCACTCGCAACGAGTAAATAAGTCAACCGCGAGACAGAGCGAGAAAAATAGAGAGAGAGAGAGAGAGAGAGAGAATTCGACTCCCGGTCAAAATGTCACGAAACAAATGATTACCTCGGCCGAATTTATGATATCGAAGGCGTCGTAATGCAATAGTGGCACGTGTAGCGCACCGGAATTAATTATGCTAATAAGCGAGTCGATTCGCGCGATTCGCAAAGTCGGTGTCGCAAGCCGGCCGATTATCAGCGAGACGCTGACGTACGGCCACGGTGCACTGGCGCGACATTGCAACGTCGAAAAAGTGAAAAGGCACAAGGAGGCGAAACAATTAGCAAATAGCTGTTCCAGCCGTCCGGCGACGACAACGACGACAACGACGACGACGACGACGACGGCGACGAACGCTCTTGAGCCTCTCGCGCCGCGAGAATGCACCGCGAGTGAACGGACAACGCCGTTCTGCAACACTGTGCGCGACGACGGTCCACTCGGTGCAATTTTGCCAGGCCGAGTAAAGAGGCGAAAGACTAGACATTCCTCCCTAAGAGAAGTTGCGAAGGTAATTCTATATAAATACGTCAAAAAATAGGTCAAATCGCAGCCACTGTGATGCCGTAGCCGAGCGGCGAGAGGTCGCGATTTCTAATTACACAGCCGGAGAGATGCGCGGCAAAGAAATATAATATTATAAGTAGATGTAATGTTGTTATATAATGCCGATTTTTTTTTCGCTGAATAAAAATATCACTTATCGCGCGTTTGTCTTCCAGTGTATCGAGTGAGGCTTTAATTCTCAATTGCTAACGGCTTTGTATAGAAAGTATCCAAGATTGATGATGAGAAGGAAACGCTAAAATGACACAATAATGACGAAAATGTCGTTATTGTGTAATGGCATCAATCAACGGTACCGTGACGATGATTGACGCTTAAAAATTAATAAGTCATTAGCGAATGATCATTTTTGCCGGCCCGCTGATTTCGTGATGAATCATGACGGTAATATCGAAATAATTAAATTCGCACGTGCTTATGACAATTTCTTCCCTTCTCCGGTATTTAAAGAGGGACGTAATTCAGTAGTACGTGACGTCAAAAGAAAGAATTGCAAACTTGAATGCCGATTGGAGTAATTAATCGTTATTAATTAAGCGCGACAGGAAGAATCTTATTCCTGTTGATAAGACAAAGGTAGTTGAAGTAGGATTCGCATTTGTAATGAGATTGTGCTATGCTTAATTTCCGCAGATGAATCTGGACGAGAGATCTTCCATTTTATAGCCATCCACCGAGCGGTCTACATTCTCGTGACGGAAAATATTTTGAACGCCGCTAATCCTTTTTTATTATTAATAACGAATGGCATCCTTCACCTTCGATATTAAAGAAGACAACAGGACATTCCAAATTCGAAGACGTTAAAAATATGCAACAGTTCAAGGACATTGATGGGGACCGCTTGTTATCGAATAAATTCATTTACAAGTATAATGTCTCCGTGACGAAACACACACACACTCTGTTTTTATAAAGTGGAAACATTTATATACCGTCGAGTATTTTTTTCTTAATTATTTCCATTACTCTCGAGAATGTTATTCGATGATGTAATACGAGCGAAATGCACGGACGGTGTATGCTTTTTAAATTAATAAATTTATATACATAGGTCGTAAAATAATTTTCACTAATTGCGTTTTTTACTCGCTCTCTGAAGAAAAAACGAAGAAAATTAGTTCGTAAGTCGGAGCTATATTTGTACGATAATTAAATTTACCCGCATCGTCCATTTTGCGCGGTGGTTTTATCCTTGGATGTATGTATGCCGGCTCGCGGATAAAAAGAACGCCAGGGCTTTAATTGGATTTTCGCTTTCGTTGGATTCACATCGGAGATTCGCTCTTGGGAATTAATCAGCGATACAAAAGCGACGATGCGGCTTATTATATCTTTTCTTCTCCTTTTAGCGCGTCGCGCTTATTTAAAATACATCGATTTTAATGAAATGCACACACTTGTGTCTCGCCTGTTTATATCTCCGAGCGATCGCGTGCCGTAATCGAGTTAAGAAGAACACGCCTGGTTATTGTGTACGCTTACATAGATACGAAATTAACCGCGATCTACGCTACACTGTACTAATTATTATACGTATAAATTGGTTAGGAAAATGAACGGGACCGTTAGCTATTAGGTAAACTACGCACGAACTTTTTTGCCCGACATTTTTATAATATACTTCACTATATGGAGAACAACATGAAGGGACCTTGCGGCTATGTTTTGTTATCGCCACGCGCTGCAATGAAATAATGGAGAGTCATTATTCCTCCGTGATCTAATAATACTACATTAATGTGATACAATCTGTCGATTATTAGTGTTGCACTATCGACGCTGAAATCATTGCGCAAGAACGGTCGATGTAGAAAACTCTTGCAACTGTCGTACACGAACAATTTTATAAAAATGCCCTTTTTTTTTAATGATGTGCTGTGATTTTATCGTAAAAAATTATATATAATAAAATTTCAAACATTAACGACAGATTGATATCATATTTGTGCAAGGTAATAAATGAGTTTTAACATTTTTACGTCTGTCTGGAAAGGTTTAAAATTCCGTTTGTAAAAAAAAGAAATAAATTAATGCAATCCATTTACATATAATTCTTATCAATATTCTCGTTTCGCGTGTTGTATCAAGGTCGGGATGCAGTCCTTGTAAGGAGTGCGAAGCTCTTTATTCTCTCTGAAGAACTTGTTGCATTCTATCTAAACAGCTGTAATGCCGCTATGTCTATGTCAGGCGTCCTGACCTTCGTCCTGATGTCGCCGTGAAAGACCAGGTCGCCGGGGCACACCGGGTCGTCAAATAACGTATCGGCTAAGCCATATCGATTGGCTTTTATTGGCATTAAATGCTGGATATACTGAAATCACGCGGTGCTGAGAGCCGATAGAAAGGGTCCCGACGACGACGATGGCGGACCCCGGCGAGGTATTCAGACCGCAACAAGGCCGCCCCGCACAGTCGTAGAGTAAAAGTGCAGCGAAATAAAATGTGGGCTGTTACGTGGCTCGAGGCGTCTCACCTACACGCAACCGTACGCGAACGCGTATTTAGCGCGGATTTGCACGCGGGGAAGGAGCGGGAGACACGCAATGAGAGAGCGCGCGCGGATGCACACTATTCCTCCTTACTTTGAGCCATTGCTTCGCAATATTTTGATACAAATATTTACGTCTTGTAACTAAGCAAAAATTGAAACTGCAATTTCGGTGAATATTTCAACGACGTGGATAAAAAGGGATCGTCCCATGGGTTCCTATTATAAGTAAACATCAGGAGATTATTTTCTCATCAATATTCAATTTCATCGAGATACGGTTGACTGATACATCGAACGTATCGGTTTCGATTTCTAAAATCTAAGGCAAAGCTCTTTTAAATGAGAAAAAAATAGTAAAATATGAATTGGTGTATTTATATAACATATTTACTAAAAATTTTCCATCTTGTAGATTTTCAGCTGCGTCGTGTACCAAAGATTTCAATATTGTATACTATTAATTAACTGTACAAGAAATTAATATATATTGATTAGAACTTCTCACTAATCGACAGACTTAAAGTATGCAACCGTCGTCGAGTTTTCAAGGCAGATTTTATCTGACCGTTATAAATTATAGGTACCTATATACATCTTATATAAGTGCACTTATGGAGAAGATCGAGCGGATTTTAATGATCCGTTCTATAAAGCATTATTCTGCCATATAAGCTGCACTTATCGGACCACCGATCTCAAAAGCAACCGGTGAAAACGTTGGGAGAGTCTTTGTTTAGCGCATAGCAGACTTCCTCGAAGAGTAATTTCGAAAGCAAAAGCGAAGATGCACATACCTCTACAAGATTTATGTTTACAATATTATTGGTTAAAAAATCTTATGCGGATAAAATATAATAAATGCAATTCAGCAAAAAAGTAGATAAATAAAAGTTTGACAAATGCGACTCTATTAATTGTCTAATGCATTGTACGTTCGCATCGACTGCAAACAAATGTATCTCCACGAATTAATTCCGTTATAAATTAAAAATGTGGGAACAAGTATTTTGATAGAAAAAATTGTGTGTATGTGCGATAGTGTAAGTGCAGTTTAGAGCAATCAAAGATATATCACGCAATAGGAATGCACGTGTACATATCAAGTACATAGTAATCAAAAATCAATGAAAATGTTTCTAGCACTTCTTGTTGACGTGATAAAAGAACGCAATAACAATGTACATGACAATTCGTGTGTTTACAAACTTCGCATGCAGAGTTATGCACACGCGTATGCACATTGACGAGATATTTTCCAGAACATTCTCGCATACGTGGCATTTTTTAGAATCCTGAAATTGCTTCTGCGAGCGTAATATAATCAAATTCTTTTGCGGAAAAACACCCTATGAGCACTCTTTTATTGTATTCACGGATGGAATAATGCATATTTGAACAGTTCCTTTGCCGACCCAGCCAGTTCTTATAATGAATAAAATTTCCTTTCAGATAAAGCTTGCAAACACACGTGTAATATCCGTGCACTTTTCGAGCTACGCACAAACAGACTGTTTAAATTGTTTGGAGCAGTGGTTCCCAAATTTTACTCTTCCGTCATGCGTTCAAAATGATATATAATTTGTTAAAAAAGAGAAAGTATTTTTGTTCAAGAAGTATATGATTACATATCACATGACTGTAAAGAGAAATCGCTCGTTTCTTTATGTCCTTCGTTCGCCGAATTTTCACTTGGCTCGCAGCTGAAAGACACTGTTTTATAGCATATCGCGACAGCTCGACGTCGATCGAACAGAAATGCCGTACACGATGCCGCGGGCGTCTGTTGTAAATTTCACGGACATAGCTATCGGATGCAGGTCCTGTTTGCGCGCACACGAAGAAGCGGGGAAATGTTTCTCCTTCTCGCCGTCGTCGTCAAAAAGAGCGAGACGATATAACCTGTTGCTGTCGGGGGTTAGAACGGAGGAAGGGGGAAAGAGGGTATTTTATATTCATCTACCTCGTAAAGCGGAATAGTTGAATGCGATGCAGATACGATCGACGCGAGCTGCAGAATGTGCAAACGCCGGCGCGTCACACCCATATAAAGGATGATCACGGCTTGGCGCGGTCCTTTTTCTCCATGGCACTTATTATCCGCGAATCCGCGAACGACAGTTTGTGAGTGACACTTTCATCCTTCAGCGAGTCAGTTGTCGGATAAACAAGCTTTTTGAAATGTTCGAAAAATCTGCATATGATTTTTATTGAATTTTCAATTGACGCGTTTATTGCAGCCCGCGTTAGATAGTCTATAATTCACGATAGAATTCGAAATAGAAATTTATTTATAACTTTATGTGATAAAAAACACATTTGAAACATAAACATAAATATAACACATTCAAATATTATCTATACGGCATATAAAATGGAATTGTATCTCGAATTCTGTCGTTGAATTATAGATCCTTTAAAGTAGCTTGACAAAAATCATTCACAATGAAGCGTGTAAGTATGCACATATGCTTGAAATTGGAGTAAACAGTATCTGAACACATTCGCAGTACACTTTCACAAATAATATTGAGATTTTATCATACTGCCGTAATAGCATAATTTCTATAAAGCGTTAGATTCGATCGTCGGATTAGATTAAAGAGATAAAACTATAAAGATATTTACCTTTGTTCGTGTTCTTTTGTAAAATTCTCGCGGCACAACTCCGGTTTTCACATGTTGCGTGATGCATTAGTATTACACAATGATTTAATTTTCATTATAAGACTTTTGTTTTAACACGTCGAGAGATTCCGAGGACTATGATTCGTCATGGTCGTTAGTCATGACGTATTATGACATTTTATGAGTCCTATTAACATCTTGAGGCCATAATTATAAAATCATAAACGATTCCAATTAACATCAGACACTGTAACATTGTATGTATGTTAATAAAATCGAATAAATTTCAAAGCAAAAAAAATATAAAATCTAATCACATTATTAGATACGAACCACTATTTTTCCTCTCAGCTGCTCGCAATGTTTAATAGACGGGTTTTCTCATACTTTGTGCACGCATGAAATACTTTCGTGCACGTGCAAAATATGAGCCATTTCGACGATGGGATAGCTTTCCACGCAATAGTTCGATGAGGTCGAGCATCAAAGTCAAAACACATCTGCGCAGTTTTCATAACGGGAACATAAAACGTTTCGCCTATTTGGCGAAGAATGCATCTTGACGTAGTCGACTCTTCTGTAAGGTAAAACTTTCCTTCGCGGGTGAGTCGTTAATAATAATAATAATAATAATAGATCGTTCGAGCACAATAGAGATTCGTGAAAGGCCCGACGTCTGCGTTTGCCTTAAATGCCATGTTAAAGCGCGCGAGCTGATCACAAAGAAATTCAGGACCGACATGCTCCACGTACTCGACAGTTGATGGGAAGATGACGAATGCGCTCGGCGGGAATTGCCTCGTTAACGATTTCGCGTAACTGCCATTCTTCTTTTAGATATATAGGTCACCGCGACGGCGAGGACAACGCGATCGTGTGCCAAGAATCTAGATCTGCAGCTGGGAGATGTTCCACACGCAAACGATAATGGTACGTGCAACAGGGATGCGCTGTGAATTCCGTAAAGTAGCAGTTGTTTAAGATATCGTCGCTTTATATGTAGCCTGGAATCTTCAGGATGTGACATTGTAAGTTGAATTGAAATTTGCATTAAATTTGTTCGCTTATTTTCAGTCCAGTCGAAGCTGCCTCATAGATTTATCTATTTGTGTCAAATCGTTTCCAACTTTATTCCAAAGACGCGCTCCTTTCCTATTTCGTCAATATTGATATATCTAAAACACTACGAATATTCTAAGGCTGTTGTCCGTATTTTTTTTCTATATTGCGTATATTTAGCGAGAATATAAATACGAATTATAAATGCGCTGTTTATATGTAAATCGCTCTGCCTTTTCCAAGCGGTTGTTATGATAAAGTATGAAAAATGTCCTGTAGTTTATGCTATTATCATGAGTGCCTGCCAAGTGCAAAGGATACAAGGATGACGACTAAGCTTTATAAAAAAAAAAAGAAGGATTCTCACCAGAGAAGAGAGACGGAGGAAAGAAAGAAGCACGCATTAGCGCTCGTAAAGCAAGCGCAACATTCACCAGGTATATCCACCGAGGGGGAAGGGTATCTGGTGGGGAGACCTTCTGATTACCGAGGGGACTCTCGTCCTGACTCCTGGTTGCAAGGAGGACATGGCGACGGAGGAGGGATATACCGACGATATTGCGCAACAATGCACCGCCACCTGCACTCGTTTCGTCACACGGCTTTAACAGGCTTGACGGTGGTTGCCCGTCCGGCTCGCATTACTTTCGCCAATTAAGCCAGGCACAGTCGTTGTAATTTAAACTTGCGAATATGAAATTCCAGGATTATTCGGAATTCCGCAGACCGACGGAACGTGTCGCCGCCAGCCGTCTAATTCGCGGTCGACTCTCTTAGAAAGGCATGGAAAGGCGGATGCTCCGTCAAGTACATCAAGCGGGATGCTTACCCGACACAATCAGATATAGCAAGGAATATTCTCTTGAGCACTTGTCCACAGACGTTTGGATATGCAATCCAACGACACAAATGTTTGTAATGCTATTTGTTCCTGCTTTCAACATATAAATAATAAAATAAAAAAGTAATAAATATACAATTTTTTAATTAAAAAAAATTTTTTACTCGTATATTCTTCTCTCTCTTTCTATAAAAATATATCTTCTCTTGATTCTAGAAAATCTACAAAAGATGCAAAGTGAGGAATAGGTGTGCTTTTCATTTATGGTTGTTGTGCAATTCATATATACACTTTACAACTGAATTCATCTCTGAATTCATCGCTGCAGCTATGGACGCATTTAAAAAAAAACACAATCTGTCATATTTTGCGATGCTAAACTGACATTTGACATGACGACTATCATAAGAGTTAAATACGTTGGTAAGAGAAATTTTAAATTATTTTCTGAAAGTGAATAATTAATAGCATAATAAGTTATAAAATTATAAAATAATTATAAAATTGTAATTATAAAATTGTAATTGCAGAATGTTTGTCAAATAACGATGACGTTGAATATTCAGAAACAGCATCTGTAGAGAGAGAGATGTTAGTGAATTTAAATTGTCCGATTAGGATGATACTCGATTATATAAGAAAAATTGCACGTGTCAATAGTACACGTAAATAACATGGAATAAAATAAAATTTTTTAGATATTAGCTATAAAAATAATTGTTATTAATCTGTCTATCTAGTTTTGATAAATCACGAGTTTTAGTTATTAAAAAAAACTTTTTTGATATTTTAGAAAACAATGTTTTCTAGGTGAATTTGATTTATGTGACGAAGTAAACTGCCAACTGAAAAATGTGTCCCTTTACGAACCTTTTACGCGTGGAACAGATATTCTTCAACCAGATTCAACATATTTCATTATCACTTTTGAACGTAACTAATTTAATTATTACTTTATGTATTTATTATAATTATAACAAAGGAGATTTCCAGGGGACGACAAAGGGCAGATGATAAACCTTACACCACTTTTAACTGGAAAAACAGCTGAGAAATGTTCTGATATTTTATCGAAGACACAAACCATTATGAAAAACTCCACCTAAAAACCTATGCTTAAAAAGAATAGTAATATTCAATAAATCTAACAAATAAAGTATGTTATTTAAACATAATATTATATAGTGCATGTGTTATTTAATTTAAAAAAATGAATATGAATACATGAGTATTTAATGTAATGGATTTATGGAATATACATAACCCAATCGCGCATTGATGAAAATACAAAAATTAACAAATTTATTAGACGATAAGACATTCAGAGAGCTAAATTAAATTAATATGGCGTATACATTTTTATGTACATTTATTTAAACTAAATTGCTTAGAGTAAATTTTCATCTAATTCCCTAATACCATGATCTTGAATTGTAATATCATAAAACTTCCCGTGCTTTCCTATTCCATTATCAATAAATTTTTTAGCACCTGGTACACCTTCCTCTAATATTAAATGCGTTGAGTTATCCTTCTCGAACTGCAATAATTCGTCTATTTGCTTCGCTGAAAATGTGGCAAAGTGCATTGAAGTGCGATCTGCCAGCAAACACTTTTGTGGGAATTTTATAAGAGAAGAAGCCAAATTCATTGCTGTACCCAGAGCTAAAAAAATGTAATATTTAAGAATAGAAAGGCATTTGTATTATTATTACAGTATGTTTTTTTTCACTAAAATATCAAATAATTCAAAAAATTCTAATTATGAGAAGTTTAATACATACCTGTGCCATAGGATGTATATTTATTTGCAATTCCCCAATTAAATGCATCCTCTGCGTTAATTGCTCTTCCTGTTAATATAAGATCCATTGCTCTGGAATATCCAATCATGGCAGGTAAACGAATAGTACCTCCACATAAAATTGGGACACCGAAACGTCTGTTTAAAAAGCCCAACATTGCTGTCTCCTCTACGACTCTCAAGTCGCACATCAGAGCGAGCTCGAATCCTATACCAACTGTATATCCACTCAAAGCTGCAATCAATGGCTTTTTGGATAATTCGGTTCTATTTGCCTAAACATAATTTAAGAAACTTTTAGCATTCTAATAAAATATTTAATTTCATAACTTTGGTTGTAACATGAATATACCAATGGTCCAAAATGTGGTATGCTCTCTTCACTCTCGCCATCATAGTCTGCAATTTCCTTCAGATCATAACCAGCACAAAAGTTGCCTCCTATTCCATGCAACACTCCCACTGATGTCTCTTCATTATTTTCAAACTCGTCCAATACTTCTGACAATAATTGTGCAGTTGCAACGTTTAGACAGTTTCTTTTCTCTGGACGATTAATACCAATTGTAGTCACTCTACCTATTTGATTCACCAATATCGTTTTTTCTGAAACAATAAACATCATCGAAGCTTTCATCTGCATAGTCCATTATGGATTCTATTTGAAATATTTTTTTTACCTGCATTCTTGTCGACATTCGTATTTACATCTGGTTCTTGTGAGGTTAGTGTTCGTCGTATATTATTTCTCAGTGTTCGAGTGAATGGAACAGACAATTTTCTCAGAAAATGCATTTTTGACACTGTATATTTCTCTAGCGATAGATTTTATATTTTAAATACAAGATGTTGTTTAATTTTTTCAAATGGCTATGTTGTATAACTTTACAATCCATGCAACACCGGCATGTAAACACGCGTCTCCCTACTTTTCACTCTCACTACATATATACATATATTTAAAGTATCGAGACATCGAATTATCGATACTATCGTAATGATGAAAAAGAGGCAATTATATAAAATGTTGAAACAATTTTTAATCTGTGCAGTTTTAACAAATTTGTTATTTAATATTCTTTAAAAAAAATTAAATAATTTTATACAATAATCCAAAAAGTATTTCTCACTTTCTCTATTCTCAATTTTTTTATCTACTAAAATGTATATTTATGTTAATAATGTAATCTCGCATAGAGCTGTATTTTGTAATTTCCTATGATAAAAACTCGCTATTAATTGTTATCTGAATATGAAATATATTTTAAATTACAATATTTCTAAAATGGATCAGAAAATTAATTAAATTTCAATTAATATTTATAGGAAAGAGTTTAGGACCTTTTCAAATTACAATCACAATCAATAAATTGAATAATTAAGTATCGATACGACGTATCACATAAATATATTTCCTTTTCACTGCGGAACGTACTTCAATCCATTATTCCTTTACGATCGATCGTTTTTGACAACAGCAGTCGACGAAACCTAGAAAACGTACTGCCGACAGGAATTAAGACCGACGATTGCCTGGAAGAGATGAGGACGGGCCAAGCTGAAGCCGGGAGATGTGGGATCAGTTACCGGAGCTGATATTGACGCAGATATTCGGCTATCTCAACCGCGCCGATCGTGCCAGTGTCGGTCAAGTCTGTCAGTCATGGAATCATGCGTTGTCCTCGCCTGTACTCTGGCGATCCGTCACGATTTTCATCGATCGTGATCTACGCGGTGTCTTTCCTCTAGCAGAAGAATTGGCTGTAAGAGCATTTTCCACAAAAGAATTTTGCAGCAAATCTTAATCGATTAACATAGTAAAACTAGTAAAATTGAATTATCTCAATCATAAATTTAGACAGGAAAATGTAGCTTGGGAGAAAGCTAAGCCATTTCAGAAAAATTGACAAAAGTAAATAAAAATGTATCAATATGCGTGTGAAAAAATTTGCTATTTTATTTTTATAATAAATATCTAAGTCTACAAGATTTGCAGAGTTCTATCAAAGAATGTACTACTTCAAAAGATTTCTTATTGATATTTGATTCGAATCGTTTCAATAAATCCGACATTGATGACTGAGATTTTGATACATTGTACTTGCCATTATTGTTGAACATCAATTTATTATCAAACTTCGCAGGCGAAGTATGGACAACATATGCGCAGCCTGGAGCTCGCTTTCTCGCGACCATACATCTTGCCAAGACAGATGAGAATTGGACACAATACTCAAGCCGAAGCCGGTGCCGAGTTTCTGTGGATTGTACGCGCTAAGAATGTGCAGCTACGACAGCTGACATTGACAAACTGGGTCTTTGGCTATAAATGGGGCAATAGAGGAATGTTGCTTTGTGCCCTGGCGAATTTTCTGCGGTGTTTAAAGTGTCCTTTCACTAATCTCAAAGTAGTCGAGCGGAATTTATGAGTTGACCCTTTTTTTCCTAATTTGCAGTTGTCAACACAATCTCGAGAGCCTGAACTTATTGAACGCCGATTTTGGCGTAACTGACGTCTTGCTACTGCTGAAAAAAGTTGTTAAAGGATGCGGCGAACATTTGGTCTCCTTGGATCTTCGCGGTGCTTTCAGAGAGTGGCAAGCTCCTCACAACAACCCGAGGTAAGTAAAAATACTAGAAAGCACATTCTACAAAAGTAAAATTAAATATTTTATATATTAATTACATAGCGGAATAAATTATGTTAAATGAAAATTGCTATCAGCATTTATCCATGATTCTTATGCTATTTACAACACAATTAATTCACTGCAGGTTTTCATTTATTCTCCAGATATTTGCGCTTGCTGGGTCGTTTCCATGCGCTAACCCTCTTGAAATTAGACTATCCAGCATTATCGAATCACACCCTTAATGCTCTTGCGACATCGAAAACGTTGAAAAGTTTATATATATCCGTAAGAGATTCAGACTCGAGACAGCACGTAGTAGCGGATGCTGCTTGGCACAATTTGGTGCTAGCTTGTCCCGATTTAAAAGTGTCCTATACTATAGGTATAACAGAATGTTGCCATACGTTAAGATCAGCTTTATCTTCATTAAAATCGATTCCATTCTTAAACCCACAAGATATGTTTCCTTCTATTTCCAAGATTGTGTTACTTCATGGTTTTCATGATATATCAAATAATCAATTGAACGCAATTAGATAAATAGTCTTTAAATGTTTTTATAAAACAGTCTTTTATATGAGAGAAGTAAAGAAACTTATTTTATATTATAAGAATAAGTTAAATTTACCTTTTAATACATTCCGTATAATTTTCGGAAGACTCTTGTGAGAATTCTTGCACCATTTAGCTTTTCAAGTTTGATTTTCAGTGAACATTTCGCATTATGAGGATATGCATTACTTGCTATTACCTAGCATCCCTCTAGCTGAATTCCATATATTCAGCGGACACGTATGGGACCAAAGCAGATCTCGAAACTTCAGAAGTACGATAGGTCTACTAATTGCTCAATACACAAACACATTAGGTATGTTGCAAACTATTTTCCAACTTTAATGTACTCAGCAATCTGTTTGTCGAATTATTAAATCCAGTAAATTCACTCAAACTTTTGGTGCAAAAACACATTTATATCTGAAATTATTAATTACTATATTAATAATAATTATTATAACGATACTAATACACTTTTTTTCGCAGTCGAGGTCATGTTACAACTTAGAAACAATCGTGAATCATTGGACGATTTATTGGTGTCCATGTTGATACGCTGCAAACGCTTGACGAGATTGCAGTACGATGGAATTATAAGGAGCCTCGAGACCTTACGCGACATATGTCAGCTTCAAGCTGAGTGTAAAACTCGTAAGTAGAAGCACTCGTTATAATGTTAATAAACTTAAAAAAATAAATGTGATTACAGAATTTAAGACGATACATGTGAAACCTCGGAACATTAATATTCAAAATCGTGCCGTTTTGAATGATATTAATTATCAGTACGATCGCAAAATGCACGAGCAAGGAGTTGACTTCCGAGTCGAAGATCCCACTTCGATTCTATTCTTCTATTGATGATTTGTTTGGCTTCCATATAAATATCTTCTTTGAATTTTTTAAATCCGATGTTTCAAAGAACATTATACATTTTTCATGACATCATAACAAGTGCCTTTTTTTATTAAACAACGTAATGAGTTTTAAAATTGCCTAAAAAGAAAAATATTGAAATTAATAAATATTAACTCTAATAAAATATCGATAAAATTAAAATTAATACAAAGTAATAATTAATTTGATTTCGATTTAAGGAAATTTGCATAGACCTGGAATGTTAAAATGTATATTTTATTCATCATTGAAATCTTGTATTTTAAATAAAGAATTTTACATCATTTCTTTCTTTAAAATATAAGATTTCAATCGAAGTAAAGTTCTAAGCTTACCAAATGACATGATTTAAGATTCTAGCATAAAAATGAATAAAATGTACATTTTAACATTAATGCGCATGCAATGTTTTATGTTCTAGTCTATATAAAATTCATAAAAAAGTATATGAAATATATTTTTACATTATATACGCAAAAATATGAGTAAATACATGGTACAAAAATGGCAATTATTAAAAATGACAGTGAGAGAATTTAATTATACTTTGAACCATATACTAGTGTTCAAGTATAGTGAATATTATTATGAGTATATATCACAACCGGAAATATAAAAAGTATATAAATAATGATGTATAAAAAATAATGTTCAATTGTTGAAAAATATATCACATTGATTTTTAAACACTTTTAACAAAAGATAGTATTTAAAATGTCTAATGTCTATCTAATATCTAATATTCCAATGTAAAAAATTTGTATTACAATATATTCATCCTTTGTTTTATGCAATAATACATACCGCCATTATATTACTTACAATTAATAGTAAATACATCATTAACCTTTAAAAAGAGGTATTCTTGCCCTTTTATCAGTGCCATAGGACGGCTCTATTGTCAATAAAATTAAAAAATAAAATTATTTATCTTACCTATCATCCTGAGATCGAAAAATATATCTTTAATCATTAATCATTCTTGGAACTTTAGTTGAGTAAAAAATGTATAAGTATATTACTTACAATTAATAGTAAATAAACCATTAACATTTAAAAAGAGGTATCACTACCCTTTTTATCAGTGCCAGAAAGAAGGGCTCTATTGTCACTAAAGTTACAAAATAATTTATTATTTATTAACAATTATTTATCTTACCTATCATCCTGAGATTAAAAAATATATCTTTAATCATTATTCTTGGAACTTTAGTTGAGTAAGAAATCTGTTAATGCATGAGTGTGTCCTGACGACAGTTCAAGACAGTTCGGTTCCAGAAACAGAATCAAGTAAATCACAATGTCTTTTAGACGCTTGTCTAAGCTTTTTCACCTTAAAATTGATTAGTTTTAGAAGCCCAGCTCAGTGATGATTTCAATGAGCACAAGATGATTTCATATGAGTATTAAGAATAGTTCGTGTGACGAAACGTTTACTGCATTGAGGGCAAACGTACGGTCGTTCACCTGTGTGATATCGCTTACGAACAACTAACGTGGATCGCTGTGTAAAAGCTTTGCCGCATTGATCGCAAGAGTATTTCCGTTCTCCGGTATGAGTGACAAAGTGAGTTTTCAGAACAGTCTCGCAGGCGAAACATTTTCCGCATACTTCGCAAGTGTACGGCTTCTCGCCGGTGTGCGATCTATTGTGGATTTCAAGGCCCTTCGCGGTCTTCAACTCTTTGCCGCATAATGCGCAAAGATACCTGCGTTTCTCGTAGCTGGACGGATTATCGTGGGCTTTGATCTTGTGCTGCTTCAGTAGCGATTGATACTTGTAGACCTTGTTGCAAACGTCGCATTTGTGCTCGGATTCTTGGGTCCTCGCAGCTTTGTTGGATTCCTCGATCTTTTCATCCGACGCGACCATAAGATCGAGGTGAGATAGACGATTATGTTCCTTCAAACTAAATATATATTTTCTTATAATCTGTATCGTTAGTTTATCATGCATATTATAAAGTTATTTCATTTATGATACTGCTTATAGTCCAAACAAGGATAACAAGAAATTTAAAAATCTGTTTCCTAAAGTAAATCGAATATATAGAATGTTGTGTATATTTTGTAATGCAGATAATGTGGCAAAAAGAAGAATAATGGTTTTAAAGCACGATCTGAAAACTTTCCAAATCAAAGTCAAACTTTTCCAAAAATTGAAATCTACATGAAATGTTTAAATAAATATCGTCAATAAAAATAATATATACCTGAATTCGTCATTCAAGGTGCTACCACACGCGTTGCTCTCATATTGAATAAGGTTATGCGTCGTCGCGTGTGCGATTAGAGTATCTTTGTCGATACAGATCTCGTTACAAATTTCGCACATGAATTTCGGAGCTTGATGATGTCGTTTCTTGTGTCTTTCCACGTCAACTTCGCTGACGCCCATGAAATTGCAATCTGTGCACGGCGTCGTCTTGGGAGTATGCGATTTCTTTACGTGGGCGTTGAGCATGAATTGCTGGGGGTAGTCTTTCCAACAAGTGACGCACTTGAAGGGTCGATGAACACCGTGAGCTGTTCTCAGATGCGCAACCAATCTAGTAACGAAGTGGAATTTCTCTTGACACAATACGCAGGTCTTTTCGTCACCTTCGAATCTGTAATCATTTGAAACAAACTATAAAAAATTGTTCTCTTCAGAATAAGGCCTGCTAAATTATTTAAAATGTATTCTGTAAGATTTATATATTACCTTTTATAACACAAATATCTCGCGATGTGAAATATATTTATTATAATTTTATGATGGAAGATTTGTGTAAAAGTTGTAATTTCCAAATTTGTAAAAGTTGATTTTCTGCACAATGATTATCTCTCTTTCGTAAATTCGATATATGCCAAAGTATAAAACATGCAGCTCACTTCTGTTCAAGAGGCAGGTCTCCGTTCTTCACTTTCAATTCGGCACAGTTGGAAAGCTGATTATTCGTCCATTGGCTGCAATAATCGAGATACACATTTACACAAAGCACCATATAGAGAGATGTAACTGTAATTCTATTAATACTCATTCGTGGCTTAGGATAAAATCGATGCTTTTGCGCTTAAAATGCGCTTCCGCAGCTGAAAAGGACTCGTAAGACAGCATCAACGACATCGCAGCTACAAGCAAATTTAACTGCGGCTAAGACACAACCAATCATTTCTCTTCATTTACGTTGTTTTATTACAAAACAGTACAATCACAGATGACAAACTAATCTTAAGACAAAGATATGGATTCGTTCACTGTCTCATCATACATTCGGTTGCACGGTTTTCTCGTGCACCTTGCGATGTCTCTTGAGCAAAGTATTGGACACGAATCCCTTGCCGCAGTCCGCACACTGATAAGGTCTTTGTTCTGAATGATAACGCAGATGTAGAACCAACGATGTTCTCTGCGTGAAACTTCTGCCGCACTGCGGACACACGTAGGGCTTCTCGCCCGTGTGCGTTCGCTTGTGAATACTCAGATTCTCCTTGCTAGCGAATCTCTTGTTGCACATGTCGCATTCGAAGATCTTCTCGCCTGCGTGATTTCGTTTGTGCACCATTAATCGTCTCATCGACGATAATTCTGCACCGCACAGATCGCACAAGTGCTTCGTCGGAGTGCGTTCTGCGAATCCATGCTGATTCTTCATGTGTCTCTTTAATAATATTTTGTACACGAATCTCTCCGGGCAGAACTTACACGCGTGCTTCGCCTTCGTATTCTTTGCGATCGCGCCGGTTTGTTTGCCCGCGTGATGCGTTACTAGATGCACCGACAGATTCTTCTTGTAAAAGTAACACTTGTGACAGTGCTCGCAGCGATATAGATTCTTGTTCGTATGTGCGTTCTGATGTTCCAAATATTCGGTCCTGTGGAAGAAACCTTTATCGCACAACTCGCACTTGAAACTGTAGTCCTTTGCGTGTCGACGACGATGGCACTCCAAGTTGGATTTTTGGTTGGTGCTATACTCGCAGAGATCACAAGCAAATATCTTCAGTCCGGTGTGGATTAGTTTGTGGCGAGCTATATTCATCGGACTGCGAAACGTTTTGCTGCACTCGTCGCAACTGAAGGCCCGATCGATGTTGTGTAGATTCTTCAGATGCTCCACGAGTTTCCGCGTGTGACGAAAACAGGCTCCGCATTTGACGCATTGATGCACAGCGCGTGATTTACCCCTTCGTTGCCTGAAATCAGGGAAGACAATGAAATATGCATCTTAAAATAAAGTCTTATAAGAGAATAACAGTTAATTAGGGCATTTTTTGTTTGAAAAAGTTAATGCTATATTTATATCATATTTATGCAAAAAAATATTGAATAGTTTCAATATTTTATTAGCTACCTACCCTTTTTTAACATCTCTTCATCAATAAATGGATATGATAATTTAAGAAACATTAATAAATGTTAATCATATAAACATTGCTCCTTCAAAATTAGTTAGAACATAAGAATAAGTTATTTATAATTTGTTATTAAGTATCTTCACGTAAATCACAAAGTATGTATTTTAAATATTTCATTCTGTGTGATTCCAAAAGTCAAATTTAAATTAAAAATAAAATTATTATATTATATTAGTTCGGAAATATTAAATATGTATTATAGTTTTGTAAAATAAGTACACACCACTAAAATGTTAATTTGAAAATATTACATTTTAATTATTTACTTTAACGTATTGAAAGAAAGATTAATTCAGACTAATTATATTATATATTATAAATGTAATATGAATATATACATAAAAAATAAATTATAATTTGCATTATTCTAATTATATCCAAGCATTTAATAGTAACAATTTGTTATATCAGAAGAATATCAGAAGAATATATGATACAATTGAACAAGATCTTTTTATATAGCTTAAAATAAAAGTATAATTACACACATAGTTATTTTTACACATGATAGCGTTCAGAAAACAAAACGTATATAATTTTTAATCGGAATTTAATAGAATTTCTGTTTCTGAATCTTGTTTTCTAGAAAAATTATAATTTTTGACGTAAATAAATCTAATGGAAAATATAAAATATATATCACTTAATTTGGCAACATATTTGATTATACATATATTAAAAACAGTTATACAAAATTTATTTTATCGTAATTAAGGCAAACGTTATGCAACATCAAATCATCGAATCAATAATAAAAGATACTCATAATTAAAAAATTAAAGCGTAAACTTGATTAATCCTAGAATGCATAACATGGCTGAAGATGATCCAACTATTATTTTAGAGGCACATACAAATTCTACATTTGTTATTTAGGTTTTAGAAGCTGTGTTTTTAAAAATTAATTAATTTTCTTATATCACATAATATCGGAAAGACAATAAAATTCAGTTGAATTGATCGCAATAACCAATGCCATGCATTCGCATATACCAGATTGTGCGTTTTGGAGTATTAATTAAACACTTTTAAGTGTAATTAAGTTCTGACGGCGGATTGTCATCGATGCAAGCACAACAATCGAGATTGGCATTTAGCTATCTAACTTCATTTTATCTTGCTGTTCTGCAGAAGTGACTTTCAGCTCCTGCGTAAAGTCCATGATTATTTTTTTAATGGATATTACAGGTAACGGCGGCAACGGTCCAGGATGCCGCTTTCTATGGCAGATAAGTCCGGGTTTCTGCGCGAAGGTTTGCCCGCATATGTCGCAGATGTACGGTCTTTTGCCGGTGTGAATCAATATGTGTTGTTCCTGCGCGGTTTTTCTGGGAAAGGTTTTGCCGCAGACGGGACAGGAGAACGGCCGGATACCCTGATGAATCCTCAGGTGAAGATCCAAGTCCCTCTTCTGGCCGAAAGTCTTGCCGCAGGTGGGACAGACGACCTTCTCCTTTCGCTGATGCCAAATCAGATGTTGATCCAAATTCTCTTGCGTGGTCAGACCGCGCTTGCATATCTTGCACTCGTAAGCTGGCTTGTAGTGTCGATACTTCATGTGCGCCTTGATGGCGGGGAGGTTCTTGCAAGCATGCCCGCAGATACTGCAGATAATGGGCGGTTCGCCGCTGTGCACTTGATTCATGTGTTGCTTCAGATCGTTCTTGATCTTGAACTGCTTCGAACAGACCGAACATGAGTACTGGAAGCCGCTGGTGTGCTTTCGTATGAAGTGGTCTTTCAGGGTGCACTTGTTGTTGCTCTTGTACTCGCAAATGCTGCAGGGGTACAAAAGGGGCCCGTGGACCTTCTCGATGTGCCGCTTCAGTTCTCGCTTCAGATTAAAGCTCTGGCAGCAGGTTTGACACTGGTATTTGTGTTGTTTTTTCATGTGTATTATTATAGTGGATTTTTGATTGAAACGCTTACCGCATATATTGCATTCCAGGGAGAGTACAGGTTTTTTCGTGCCGACTTTTTTTGGACTGAGCTTTTGCTTTTTCGCATCTTTCCTAGTACAATGATTTTCCTCTTTATGTATTTTTCTTTTTCTAACGAGGTGTCGTTTCAGTCTGTTTGGCAATGAGTCGGGCGTGCACTCTACGTTTTCTACAAGCGACCATTCCGAATTATTGGCATCCGCGAAGTTCAGGGGATCCAAATCCCTAAAACATAAATTACAATGAAATTAAATTTTATTACATTACAGTGCGTGATCTATCGCTGGATATTGACTTACTTACTTGAGATATTAAGTGTCGAATTTTTTTCCAATATTTTATTCAAAAATATTTTTTATCTACAAAGAGAGTGTAGACAATATAAAAATGTAATTATATTAATTAGATCGCAAATACAAAAAATTTCTAAATGCAATGTTTCAGCAGTAGTAAAAAAGATAATTGAGTAATTATTTTAAAAAACTGCTATTTACTCTTAATAAGAATTTTATGATATATATTTCTTAAATTATGCAAAATTATTAAAATTAATTTCTTTTAAAATTGTATTATTAAAATATTTTCTAATAAAAGTAAATAACTGATACTGTTAAATAATTTCATTATTATTTTATATTAAGAATAATTAATCTCGTTCGTAATTATTGAACAAGTGATCAATATCATATACTTCTTAAATAGAATAATAAATGTTTTAAGATTCTTTTCAACGTGCCTGCATATAAAAAATCAGTAAATATATCCAAAATGTATAAAAACTGTAGATTTATTGCAAATTGAGTACAAAATACAATAGAAAAATTGTAAAAAAACATTCATATTTAAAAACTTGACCCAAAAAAGACTGCGTATATATTTTAATGACAATGACATTCTTTCATTGGAAAGAAATCTGTAGAAAAATTGTTAAAAAGTTATAAATTCTTTAAGTTCTAAAGTTCTCATTTATAAGAGTATTTAAGATAGAAAATATTACATTTATATGTACAAAATATATAATATGCAATATTTTTACATAAATAAAATATATTTAGAAGAGAAACTGTGTCTAAAATTTTCACCTTGATATTTATGTCTTTTTTATGTCAAATTTTTAAATATTCTCAGATTATTTCAGTCATAAATATTTACAATTATTTTGTCAGGTATATTCACTAGAAATACTACGGACTCAGACGATCTCATTCGATCTTTATGACCGCATTTTTTGTCGTGTATTCTTTCGTAAACTCCGTGACAATGTTCTTAATAGAGACTACAGGCAGCGGGGGCAGCGGGCCAGGATGTCTCTTCCTGTGACAGATCAAACCGGGCTTTTGAGCAAACGCTTGGCCGCAAATGTCGCAAATGTACGGCCTCTTCCCGGTGTGAATCAACACGTGCTGCTCCTGGGCCGTTTGTCGTCGAAATGTCTTTCCGCAAACGGGACAAGGGAACGGCTTCACTCCCGTATGCACCCTCATGTGCGAGTCAAGGTCCCGCCCTCGAAATCTCTTGCCGCAGGTCGGACAGAGCACCTTTTCCCTGGTTTCGTGCCACATGAGGTGCTGCTCTAAATTCTCCTGCGAGGTCATACCCCGTCGACATATTCGACAAACAAAGTCCGGCTTGTAGTGCCGATATTTCATATGGGCTTTGAGAGCGTGGAGGTTCTTGCTGAAGTGACCGCAGACGTCGCACACGATCGGCGGCGCTCCGCTGTGATTCTGTTTCACATGGTGATTCAGGGCCTTCTTGATCTTGAACTGCTTGCCGCAGGTGTCGCACGCATAGTCGTAATTGCTCGTGTGCAGTCGAATGTAGTGATTCTTCAGAGTGCCCTTATTGTTGCTCTTGTACTTGCACACACTGCACTCGTACATCTGCTGTCGATGGTTCTTCTCGACGTGGGAGACCAGGTAACGCCGCAGACTGAAGGTCTTCGGACAATCGGCGCACTTGTGCCTGTGCTGCTTCAGATGCTCGGCGAGATTGCTCTTCTTCAAAAATTTGCGACGACAATGTTCGCACTCTACACAAGTCGTCTTTTTTCTAGTCGATCGATTCTGTACAATTTGCAAATTGGATTCCTTTGTTAAGTTAGCATTTACCTCTTCTGGTATTTCATCTTCGTGTTCCAACAACGATTTTTCGCTTTTCATCCATTCGCATTCGATTCTGGCGAATGATCTGTGAACGACACTGGATTCGACGTTCAGCGGATCGGCCACTCTAAAACATAAAAGATAAAATTTCACGTTATTATTGGCAATAAATCAAAGCAGCGACATTTATATCTATCGGAATCGTCGACGGTTCGATAATAAGTAAGGAAGTAATTGGGAGACGATGTAATAATTATTAGAAGTTTAAAAAAAGCATTCGAATATTTTATTGTCATCGTAATCTTTCAAATTACCTTCCTAACTTTGTGATTAGAGTCCTGCGGAGATTTATGAAACTGTTTTAAATATCGGTGAGAGCGCGGCTTTCGTAATGTTTTCAATACGAAAATTTTAGGGCGACCTAAAAAAAGAATGTGTATCAGTATTATGATTAATTATGTGAATGGCAAATGGTAACTTACCTGTGATGACGAACAAGTAAATTCTACGAATAAATATGTAATTAGCAAAAAATAAATTAATCAAAAACTTAATAAAACACGACTATGGGACTGATTCACATATTCTAAAAAAATTTGCTGCACTCATGTTATGTAAGTTAAATCGTATTTATTATAAAATATAGCATCATATTTAGCAGAATTATTATAAATTATAACATCATTAACAGAAAATCGTAGTAAACTTGAAAAAGAATGAAAACTTTCATATTTTATAATTACGATTTGCGATAACATAACTAACAAAACAATTATAGAAACATCACACGTATTTTTTTTACAAATCTATCTTTACTCTGAAAAAGTTATGTTTCTAAAGAAAAGAAATTCTTACTTTGATAACTGTTTAAGATGGTTCGAGCGTAAATAAATTTTTAAAAGAAATTATTAAATTTATATTATTTGTACTTAAAGACTTCATAAATATAATTTTACAATTTCAACGATATTAACTTCAAAGTAAAACTTTTACACAGAGTCTTAGCAAAAGTCGATGTTACATTTAATTATGTGCTGCAACAAAAAACTATTCTTATGATTTTAATAAAAAATTAGTTAATAAATGAATTCATAATAAAGTTTTTAAAGTCACAATATTTCACTTATTAATTATTGAGAAATTAAAGTTTAAAGAAACTTGAAGATTTTTATTACACCACTTAATGATGAAACATTGATATAACAATGACAACACTGCATTATTGTGACACAAAATTAATGTAAATGCGCGCTTTTTTAATCTATCTTTCGTCATGTCTCATCTTTCCGTCGATATATTTTGTACTTAATAATATTAAAAAAATCACAATTACGAATAGAATGTATGATCACAATACTTCACTTTACAGGTGAGAAATTCATAAATAAATTAATACATTGTTGTCATTTTACGATAATGCGTATTTGTACAATTTAATATACATATCAGACTATAGTATTTCGGACAATCATCAAGTTTCGTGTGTATAAATGAGAATTTCTCTATTATCTCCTAACGAAAGCATTACTTTTAGCAATACTGTCACACTCGAATCACCTTAACAATAATTTCTATTACTTAAGATTCCATTTTTGGTAAGTTTTTAGTTTTGTTTATGTAATCTTTAACGAATTCGCTCACAATGCCAATCACAGGTATAATCGGTAATGGCCCAAGCGGTCCAGGATGCGTTTTCCTGTGGATAATTAAGTGGGCCCTTCGTGAGAACTTCACTCCGCAAATGTCGCACTCGTATACATTAGTCATATGCGTTAAAATATGTTGTACTTGATTTGATCGTTTCTCGAAGGCTTTTTGACAGACCGGACAGATATAAGGATTAATCTTGCCGTGAATAGCCATGTGTTTGTTTAAATTAGGTTTGTTGAAAAAAGTATCTCCGCATGTTGTACAAATATAGGTGTCCAAATTTGGCGTGATTTGTTTAGCTTTGTGTCGACGGATATGCGTTTCTAGAGAAGCTAAAGTGCTGAGACGATGTTTGCAGAGTTCACACTGGTAACCGGACTTTAAGTGAACGAACCTGGTATGCGTCTTCAATTTCGTAAGATTGTTAAAGATGCGTTTACAGATAGTGCACGCTACAGAAAGATTGCTATGTTGCTTACACATATGTCGCTCGATAGCGTATTTCGTCGGAAATGTCCTATTGCAGATGCTGCAGCTATTGCAAAAAGGATCCAAGTGTCTCACGACGAAGTGATCCTTCATGTCCGGCAGATTCCAAGTAACAAAGTAACACAATTGACAAGAATACTTGGGCTCGCCGTGATGTATGACCATGTGCCTCTCTAGTTTATCCGACGATTCAAACAGCTCATTGCAGATTTTGCACGTATTTTTGTGAAGTTGCATATGTTTCCTGAAAGCCGCTCTCGTTCGGCACGGGAAGGAACAAACAGTGCAAGTGTAACGAACGCGCATTGTTCTTATCGCTCCTCTGTTTTCTTTACTGCTCTCTGTGCTGCTTATGTCGGCAGTACTCGACGATGTCTCCAGGAAGAATGCACGGGATTCCCGAATGGCTTCAATCTTGAGTCCGTCGATTTCTAGCAATTCAGGAAACCTACGACACAAGAAAATGTTTTTTTTTATGAAACGAAAGAAATACTGTAAGTGCCTTTTTTTATTGCATTATCCGTTTAGTCCGAAAATACTTCGATTACAGGAAAGTGTGAGCTTAACATTTTGCAATAATCTTTTAATGATAATTTCGTGAATTTAATGTTTTAATTAATATATTTTAATAGGCATTACAAATATTGCGATAATATATGTAAAGCATCTTTAACCAACCGCACTTTCTTTTAATGATGAGTATTATGTGATTAAAGATTATTTGGAAAAATATAGAAAATTGAGAAAAATATGAGCCTTAATACTTTGCAGTATGTTAATGATAATTTTATGAATTTACTGTTTTAATATAAATTTAAGTTAAAATTGTTATCATTTTATTGTTATCCAATTTAAACAATTTAAGGATTATGAAATATGCAAATCTTGTATCGATAATATAAATGCAATGTATCTATTCTTTTTAGCCAAAATATTAATTATAAATTTTAGTTACCAATCTAAAAATTGATTCTAGATTTTTTTATTAAAAGAAAGAACGGTTAATGAAAGATATATTACTTACATCATTAAGTCTGCTGGTCCATCGCTATATTCTGACGTTATAATTATGACTGCAGCGAAGGACCAGGAGCCTTAATCCATGAGCATCTGCATCACCAAGGACTTATCGCTTTAAATTAAAATATTCTGTTTTATTCGGCAAATGCATAATAAAAACTTGTATAAGGAATTACAAAAGAAATAACATTCTTAAACAAATATATTTTATTTCAAAATATAAAAACACTCTCCTAATACAATAACATAACTCTTCTTTTGTCGATTTGCAAATTTCATTACAATTCTTTTCAAATCTAACATCACATATGCCCTGACGCTAATGTGCGTTATATTTTTTACATATTTTCAAGCAATATGAACGTCTCGCTGCAACTATGCAACTCTATAGTCTTTATCTTCTAGTCCATTTCTTTATGTTCTCTTCTCAATGATGCAACTCGTAATATTGCTTCATCGATTCCATCATAAATTTTCTTTTGCACACGTGGCAAGTGTATTTGCGATCATTGTAGACGATTAAATATTTTTCAGCGTGCGAATTTCAATAAAACCTTTGCCACGCACGTTGCAACTCTGCGTCTGCTTTCTCAGGTAGTGCTTTTGGGCCTGAAGACCATTAAACATTTATGGCAAAAATACGACTTTTCTGTATATGTCGGAATAATTCACCTTGAAAAGTGCACAGGAACGAAAATGTTTGTTCATGTTTTCTTTTTCAATTGCGAAGCTTTGATAAAACATATAAGTTGAACGTTTTTGCATTCATAAGCAAAGACTTCTCTTTCAATAGATTTTGTAGATATTTTCATCATGTATTTGCCCTTTGCATTTGAAGTGAAGGAATTTTGGTTTTTACATGTAGACTTATTTTTTAATTTATATTCTTCTCTGCAATATTCCTCTTCGCATTTTGAAGAATCAGCAATTGTAATACCTTGTTCTTCATTAATTTTTTTATACTCCTGCAAGTGAGAAAAAATAATTACTAAAATCACAACATGACTAATTAACATGAGATATACTTATCTTGTATTTTGCATTTGATAAAATATTTCCTAAAATTTAAATTATCTCAAAGATGACATGAGCAGATGGAATCTCGTGAAGCGTAACAACTTTAACAAAATACTGATATTAAGATAATTTACAGAATATTAAATTGTTAAAAATATTTATTTGACACAGAAATCTATTTGATGGTGCATATCTTATAGATTTAAGTTTATTAAACACAATTGTCTTAGAAAATATAACTTTGCCGCTGTGTTCGATATCTTTCATAGGCTATTTTATACACTTTATTGAATACAATGTAATATTAATGTATATTCCAGAGAACATGTATCATGCATGGAGAAATTCGACAGAAGCTTGCTTGATTTATCTTATATTATGTAACATAGAAAGCATTTGTATAACATAGTTTTCCAGCAAAGGACACAAGTTGACACAAATCGACACAAGTAGCACTCTGTCTTTGTTCGATATTCAATGAGCAACAGAGAGAATACTTTTGTGTCGCTTGTGTCTCTTGGTGGAAAACTACCATAATAAGACACAAGATTTTATATAAGTTAAATTTTTTTTTAAAAAAAGAAAAAAAATTTCATTTTAAAATGAATAGCAACGTTGTATTTCTCCATGCAAAATAACATTTTTAAATAACGGAAAGTGCTTATTGTACAATAGATACAGAAAGTTATGGATAATTATATACATTACATCTTTAATTATACTGCAAATATTATTAAATATTGTATATTTCAATCCAATTGTTTAACATAATTATTATTTTGTAATTTTTAATAAATGTCAATCTTGAAGAAAGAAACTTAGAATACATTCTAAAACGATGACAGTTTATTTTAATGTAGTGGAATGAGAATACACACACACGTAATACTTCTTACCAGTTTAAAAAAGTTTTATACATAAGAATCCTTTTAGCACCGTTGCAATAATAATTTTAATGTTCTATTTTTTATTCAATTTTTAATTCAATCTTTAAATTTTTAATGTTGCTTAATAGAAAAAACAATTAAATATTTAAATTACCTTACATGTCATTGCAAAACTAAAATAATCGAGCATACTGTTTAAGTTAGCATTGAGGCGAATGAATGAAATGATAAACTAAAATCATACAATGAACAATATAATAATGAGGTGATATAAATGACGAGTTAATACATAGAATGAATACAGATCTTAGAAATTTACTTTTTGTAAAATAATTTTACATTGATCAGAAAACATACACAAACCTAATTTACCAACTATACTTACATTGAATATCAGCATTATTGTGCATCTATTGTAGACGATAAAATCCAAATTGTTATCAAAATTGTTATTAAGCCATAATTATTTTTCTTTAACCAATAAAATAGTTTCTGCAAAATATTGTTAAATAATTACTTTAAACAAGATCAGAATAAACTGAAACTAATAAATAAAAAGTTATGAGTTTGTCGATTGTAATGTGTAATTTAACAATTATCAAACAATTTAATTTAACAATTATCAAAATGAACATCTTATATTATTTTACATCAATATATTTATAATACATTTTATTGGCTTAAAGAAATGTACAGAGTTTTAATTTTACTAGGGTGATAAATATTAGAAAGCTGTTGAACTGAAAATGATTGTTTTTTTTTTCTTATTTATGTAAATTGTATGTATGGATGTATTGTACAACCGTTAATTATATATAATGCTGTACATCTTAGTACATTTATTTCCTATATCTAGCAAAGATTTATTTTAATCTTAAAATATAAACAAGTTACTGCTCTCTCATTGTTCCTACTGCAGATTGCTTATTTCCTGACCACATTATGTTTCACTAGTCGCAGGGTATTTTCAATGAGTGAATTTTTTTACTTGCTGCACATTATTGGAAATTGGTTTTATGCACAAAATTAAATTCTCAGCTTTTGAAAGTGCTAGAAAACATCATTTATGTTTATGTACATAAAATGGTCATGTCATTCAGATTTGTTAAGTTGCAAAAAATTAAAAAAAAAAAAATATTTAGATAATATTATTACAATAGCTGCATAATAAAAGATGATAGGCATTGTGCAATTTTACGCATAAACATAAATAAGAATCTAGTTTACAAATTTTACAGACTGCTGCCTGAGATTAACCTGAAGATTACCCAGTGAAACTTGAATTATTCCGTCACTTTTATTATACACCTGTTACTATCTTAAAGAATAGTAAATAATTTTGTGTATATTTTTGCATCGCCGAGTATTCACGCTTCCTCATCGATCCTCTCTTCGTTCTCGCGCGCAATAACTTCTTGCTCATATCCATCAGTGAACTCTTTGACGATGTCGGCAATTGGCATAACCGGCAACGGTGGGTGGGGGCCAGGATGAGTTTTTCTGTGGCAGATCAAACCTGGTTTTTGCGTAAAAGCCTTGCCACATATATCGCACACAAACGGTCGTTTGCCAGTGTGAATGAGCAGATGTTGACGCAGCTGCGACCTTCTAGCAAAAGGTTTATGACAAATCATACAGGAATGTGGTTTGCAGCCCGTATGAACAACCATGTGTCTTTTGAAAGAATCCTTCTTTGTGAAGGTTTTGCCGCATTCCGCGCAGACTATTTTATCGCGCTTCTCGTGCTGCGACACCAAATGCTGATCTAGATTTTCCTGTGTGACCATGCGCCGTTTGCAGATATGACATTCGTACTTGGGCTTGTAATGCGCCCATTTCTGATGCACGTACAACGAGCCGCTATTCAGGCACAGTTTGCCGCAGACGTCGCACTTGACCGGCTTCTCTTTGTGATGGAAGCGTACGTGATTCGTTAAATCCCCCTTGACCTTGAATTTCTTCGCACAGAAATTACACTGATGATCGTATTTGTCGGTGTGTTTTCTAATGAAGTGTGATTGCAGGGAATGTTTCGATCTGCATACAAAGCCGCAGGCCGGGCAAGGAAACATTGTGTTACTAGTCCGTTTTCTGGACCAAGTCTCGTGCTTTCTTTCAAGATGCGCGGCGAACGTGCTTTTCTTCGACGTTCTGTAATCACACACGGCGCATATGTACACGCTGCCTTCTTTTATACATACTTTCTTCTTGTGAGTCCACGCGACGTGTTTCCTGAACGATAACGACGAGTCGAATATCTCCGAGCACACTTTGCACTTCAGATTCCCGCTGGAACTCTTCAAAGATGTCTTCGCAGGTATCACATCAGCGCTAGGAGAATCTAGCAATTCTTCTTCCAGATATTCTACCTCTCCCTCTTCGTCACACGCGTACTCCGCCTGCTGATACTCGTCTGCCTTCGTGTCTACCTCCGAAGATACAAGTTTCTCGATAGTCACAGTACTACCCTGCACTTTTACCTGATATAAATCTCCAACCGTTTTGTCGTCCGCAACTTCGCCGATACCATTGAGTATGATTGGTTTTTCGCGTGATTCCTCCCTTTCCTCCATGTCTCTATTAAGAATGTTCTCATTCTCATTATAGAATCTTTCGTCCATAGAATCGTACGAGCCTTCCTCTTCAAAGAGATACTCCTGTTTCATATCGTTTATGTCCATACTATCTTCTTGCATTTCTATTTCCTTCTCTATTTTCTCATGTTCGTAGTCTATTTCTTCTAATTGTTCTTCTATTTCGTCTATTTCGTCTATTTCCTCCGGTATATCCTCGTCCGGTAAAGGCGTATCGTCTTCAGGTACAAATGCATAATTGGCTTGCCATCAAATTCTAAAATTTGCCATTTTTTCATCACCACCGATTCTTTATCAAGGATGAAAATACCACGGGTGTCTTCGTACCTGAAACATCAAGGAATGAAGTGATTACTACAAATAATAAATTATAATGTACCGCGGTAAATTATGTGCAATAAAATATCGTATCCTATATGGATTTAATTAGAGATCAGATCAACGAAGGTACTCACAAACGAGGAGTTAAAACTACCTTTGTCATCGATCAGCATTGCAGTCCGTTGCGTCCTGCATTAGCTATGAAGCTAACATAAAATGGGACAGATAAATATTCTTATAAAATAAACGTTACTCTGCACATCCAGTATATTCAATATTTATTTTACCAATTATAGAAACACATTTATCCGTTGTATCTGGTCTATTTCTAAATAAATTGCAATGTTGTACAAATAAAAAAGTGAAAAATGAAAATTGCTAAATAATATTTAGAACATAAATAATAATAAAATATAAAATTCGGATATTTCTTATATGTAAATTATGTTTTTTATTGCCATATTTGATTGCCATTAACGAAAATATAATGCTTAAATTTTAATTTTTAAAAGTTAAATAAACTTTTATAACTTATAAGAACTTTTTCACAGCTTTGTATATTCTACAATAAAATTATTAAAAATTTTAAACTATCTTATAATCTTAAATTAGTAAACTTTAGATATTTTTAAATACAAAATCTTAAGTAATATCGTGTAATGAAATGTAATGGCAATGTTTTCTTATTTTATTACGTCTCTTTCTTTCCAAAATAAAATACATTGTGAGTAAAGTATAAATATATATTAAATTAACTATTAATCAAATGTTAATAAATCAGAATGGCAAATGAGAAACTTTATATCTAGCGTATGCCTGACGAAAAAAAATTCATAGTTGCTGTCACATTTTATTGTCGTGCATTTGCCTTCCAATTACCACAAATTTTTAACATTTTTGGAGCAATATTTCAAAATATACTTATTCCACTCATGTGATATTTGCTCATGTTATAAACAAGTGCTTTATGCTTTGCGTCAGTTTGCTTTTTGTACATTTCAGAGATCATTTTTTATTTAACGTGCCGTTATGACACGCTATCGCAGACGAAACATCCATAATTTGCATCATTTCAGAACACACCGTTTATCCATTTAATGATCAAACAAATGATATAAAAAATGCCAAAGGACGATAAACATTTTCGAAAGAAGGCACGACGTTCGACGTCTTGATTCGTGGTTTTATTTCTTTATGAACTCCTTCAGTATGTGATCGATATGTACCACTGGCAAAGGCGGCAGATTGCCCGAGTGGCTCTTCCTGTGGCAGATAAGACCGGCCTTCTGAGCGAACGACTTGTCGCATACATCGCACGCATAGATACGTGCGCCGGTGTGCAGAAGAAGGTGCTGGCTCAGGCTGCTGTGTCTGGCGAAAGCTCGACCGCAGACCGTGCAATTGTACGGCTTGTCGCCCGTGTGGATTCTCCTATGCTTCCTCAGATCGTAATTCTCGAAGAAGGTCTTGCCGCATATGTCGCACACCGACTTCTCCTTTTTCTCGTGCTGCGTCAATACGTGCTGATCGAGATTTTCCTGCGTGACGAGTCGCCGGTGACACAGCGGACACTCGTATTTCGCCTTGTAATGCGCGTGTTTCTGATGAGTGTAGAGACTGTGGCTGTTCCGGCAGGTCTTGCCGCACACGTCGCATATCACTGGCGATTCTCGATGATTCAGTCTGGTGTGCGTGGTCAGGTCGCCCTTGATCTTGAACTCTTGCCGCAGTGCTCGCACGAGTAGTTGTAGCGCTGCGTGTGCTTTCGCACGAAATGCGTTCTTAGGGTCTCCTTGCGAGTGCAGACCAGGCCGCAAACGGTGCAAGTTAATTCACGCTTGCTGTCGGTGATTTTGTCGTCCGTGCTTTCCTCGTGTTTCTCAGCCAAATGCGCGATCATCGTCGATCTCTTGTTGCAGCGAAAGTCGCAAGTCGTGCACGAGAGAGCTTCCTGATTTTGCGGCACCGCGTCGGTGAGCGCCGAATTTTCCGTCGCACTCGGCTCGCATTGACGCTCGATTTCCGTTGTGTGAGTGAGCTTGTGCTGCTCAAGCAGATACTTGCTCTTGAAAGTTTAAGACAAATGTCGCAGATGAGCAATTTCAGAATGCGAGTTTTCTTTTGGGATTTCTTCTCTTCTTTGTATTTAGAAACGGACGCTTTTTCTTGAGTTTTCTTCGTTGCTGCCTTGTCGAAGCAGACATCCTCCGTTGGTTTCCTACAAAACATTAGAAAAAAATATCTTTATTACGGTTCTACAATTGGAAAATTTTACAGATATTTGATTACTTACATTCAAATCTAAAATTTGTGTGAGCATTAATACGAGCAAAATTGAAATTATTCTCATCCCTCGGAGGTTCAGAAACCCCTCATGCTCGAGGTTTAGAAACAGAAATTTTTAGTATGTAGGATGTTTAGAACAACACAGAATAGTTACGATATATTTATTTTTACATAGAAAAATTAAATATGATAATCATACTACGATAATTTGTTGTATGTACAACAGCAACATAAGTTAGCATGAATTTTTGAATAATAATTAAATACAGCGCATTGTAATGTGATTTTATATAATACTCAAAAACCAGAACTGTTAGAAAAGAACTGTAAATTAAAGCAAACATCTGTAATTTGACGAACTTGTAATAATAAAATTATTTTATACCTCCTCATGTTTCAGATAATCATTGATCGTTTCATTAATTGTAATTTATCAAAATTCTTAAAATTACTCATTCTAATCAAATAAATGCATCCAAAATAGCACGAATGACCTTTTCCTGAAATAAAAATAAAAGATTAATATTAACAAAAAACCTAATTTGTTTTAATATTGTACAAATTTGTTTGTAGATTGTAAATTTGAATCATATATAATTTATACTTACATAAAGTCGCTAATATAAATAGTGCACTATTTCTGTGTAAAATAAAACAATATGTAAAAACATCTTGATAAAAATGTTTTTGGCTATTAAAGTATAATTACGATGATCAATTAATAAGTTTAACTGATTGGATTTTACAAAAAAAATATTCGATATTAATATAAACGGCGTTTACATCATCGAGATTTTTTAGAGTATTTTTTATTAAAATAAGTTATGTTGTTTATTACATATTTATTAGTAAGAACATGTGCTGTTTTATGTATCAATTATTATGTCGACCATAAAAACAAATATAAAATTGATGTCAGAAATAATGAGAAAAAACTATTGTATTTTAAAATTTTAATTAAACATATATACAAGTTATATGATCTTATAATATTTCCTCATATTTTTTAAAAATAGGTTTATTTTCGAAAATATAGAAGAATGTAGCGTACAGTGTAAAGTACCTTTTGTTTCATGAGGTCGACATTTAAGTTTCTTTTCATACACTTAATAATAAAAGAAAATAATTTTGTATCGATACATATAAGATTCAGTTTTCAAATTCTCTAAATGCAATCTTGATTTTTCAATAATTATGATCTTAAATTTAGTAAGTTTTTTACGCGAATCATATTTATTATATCATTCCTTCTTCATGAAATCATTGAGAATTTTGTCGATGTACACGACCGGTAAAGGAGGATGATCGCCGGGATGTGATTTGCGATGGCCAATTAATCCGGGCTTCTGTGTGAAGGCTTTACCGCAAATGTCACACACATACGGCCGTTTTCCCGTATGAATTAACAGGTGCTGTCTGTAAGCAGTTCTACGGGCAAAAGCCTTGCCGCAGATGTGACAGTCGTACGGTCGGTCGCCGGTGTGGGTCATCATATGCTGTTTTAATCGATGATTTTCTGGGAAAGATTTGCCACACTCTTCGCACACGAAACTCTCTCTGCGCTCGTGTTGCAGCAGAATATGCTGATCCAGATTTTCTTGAGTAACCATGCGCCTTTTACAGATTTCGCATTCGTACTCGGGCTTGAAGTGCGCCCACTTCTGGTGCACGTAAAGCGAATTACTGTTCGAGCATGTTTTTCCACAAACGTCGCAGATTATCGGGCCTTCCTTGTGTTTGAAGCGTATGTGCAATCTCATGTCGCTCTTCACCTTGAACTTCTTGCCGCAATACTCGCAATCGTAATTGTAGTTGGATCCGTGTTTGCGATCGAGATGCTCCTTCAGCCGACGTCGGCTTTGACACTTGAATCCGCACGCGTCGCACGAGTATTCTTGCGGTTTAGTAGTTACGGCGGTACTTCTGCGCTTACTTCGCCGTTTAATCACGCGTTTCGTGGGATGCTTTCTGCTCACGTGCGAGTAAATGGTTGATTTGTTGGTGCTCAGATAAGCGCAGAATTTGCACTTGTACGTTATATTCTCTTTCGTCTCCTTGTGCACCGCCTTTGCGTGGCATTGAAGCATTTGTATTTCTGGAAAACAAATGTTGCACTTGTCGCATGCATAGACCCTGTTGTCCTCGCCGTTGAAAGTCTGATCTTCATCTGCAGTTACAAGTGTTTCGTCCGCTGAAATATCTTTGGTTTCTGCCTTCACGGTGTAAAAATCATTCAATACATCCGTATATGTCACATCGTTGTCACTTGCCACTGCGAAGGTTTCTTCTTCTACATCCTGAATGTTAATTTTGGACTCGTAACTGTCTTCTTTCGGATCATCTTCTTCCGGATCTTGTTTCTCTTCCTTCATCTTTGATATTTGATTTAATGGAAGAAAGGCATAATAGAGCTGTCCCTCCAAATCAACTACTTGCCACGGCTTCATTGGAATAGATTCTTTGCCATACAGAAAACATCCATTTCCATTCACGACCCTGAAAATTATACAATATGTTAGTTAGGAATTTTATTAGGGGCAATTTAAAAGCAGCCATTTTATTTTGCAAACTTATCCATTTTATGTTTGTACATATTAATTTTATATTAGAATAAAAAATTGTTTTTTTTATTTTTTATTTTTTTTAAATGGATGAGGTGTATGTTTTAGATAAAACAAAAAAATTTGAAATTGTTATAATTATTTATATATCATTTCACAATGATTTTTTCGAACTTCATAAGAGTTACAATCAATGGCGAGGATAGTAACAATCATTTTTACGGAATGGTAAACAAGCAACTTTTATAGTAACTTACAGATTCTGTAATATATATTCCATGAACAGCTAAATCACACTCAGTTACAACCAATCACATATATATAAAAAGCAATTACTGCACTTAAGAAATTATATATCGTAGAAATATTAAAATCTAAGCACCCTCTGGCAGTCATATACCGTATTATAAATACGAGTAAGGTATACAAATTTACGATTTTACGCACACACATCTAAAATCGAATGTTTCCAAATAAAAAATAACGTTAACTTAACTAATAAAAAATAACGTTAACTAATAAATTAACAGAAAATCAATGAGCTAACCAATTGCTTTACAAACACTGCCAAAACATGTTGAAAATTTGCAGATTCTAATTTTAATAAATTATTCTTTTATTATCATAGCGCATAATAAACAAGTCAGTAATGCATGACAAAACGAATTAATAATGTTTTACAAAAAGACATGCGCATTTCATGCCAAACAACTTAACGTAACTCGTATTTTTACCAAATATTGCAATATAAAAAATATTAGATTTATTTATTCTTTTATAACAGTTAAAATTTCCTCTGAATAATATATTCTTAAGTCGTCTTGTCATAAAATGCTACAAATATCACTACCTCTAAATATCACTAGATAAAAAATTCGTAATAGGAATATCTCATTCGCATGGTACAAGAATATCCGATTACACAAGCAGATTTTTATACATATATCATTTTCGTACAATTCATCTCTCGGAATCGTCCGCGCAACTTTCAATTACCATGTTCAAGCGTTCATAACATCGTTCAAGATGTGATCGATGAGGACACGCGGCAGAGGCGGATGAGAACCCGGATGCGATTTTCTATGACTGATCAGACCCGGCTTCTGAGTGAAGGCTTTCCCGCAGATATCGCACACGTACGGCCTGATGCCGGTGTGAATGAGTAGGTGCTGCTTGAGAGCGGTCCTGCGGGCGAAGGACTTGTTGCAGACGGTGCAGCTGTACGGTTTGTCTCCGGTATGAATTCTCATGTGCACCTTTAATCTGCTATTCCGCGAGAACGTCTTGCCGCACTCCTCGCACACTACGTTCTCCCTGCGCTCGTGCTGTCTGAGCATATGCTCGTTAAGATTCTCCTGACTGACCATTCGCCTCTTACATATCTGACACTCGTACTTTGCCTTGTAATGCGCGAACTTCTGGTGCACGTACAAAGAATTGCTGTTGAGGCAAGTCTTGCCGCAGACGTCGCAAATCACCGGCTGCTCCCGGTGGCTGAAACGTATGTGATTCGTCAAATCGCCCTTGACCTTGAACTTCTTACCGCAGGTCTCGCAGGAAAACTTGAAGACGTCCGAATGCTTGCGCGCGACGTGTATTTTCAGCTCGTATTTGTTCTTGTTCTTGTAATCGCACTGGCTACAATAAAATAGTTCCGGCTGCACGTCGCCGCCGCAGGACTGCGGCTCCTTGTGCTTCCGTTTTATGTGAGAGTACAACGACGACTTCTTGCCGGTCTTGAAGCCGCATTCGTTGCACGCGTACACCTCGCCGATGTTCTCCACTTTGTGTCGGCGTTTATGCGAGTACAGAGTGCTCTTCTTCGCGCAGGTGAAATCACAGAGATTGCAATGTTCCTCGACATTCTTCTGGTTGGACTTTTTCGTCGTTTCGCAATCCTCCACGCAAACTTCCTTCTTAACTAACACCTTAGAACTTTGATATGGGATTAATGCCGCGTTCTTCGCCGTCTCACGGCTATACGACGAGGAGACCGATGTGCCAGACTTTTTGGGTGGCGTGTAACCGCACTTCCTTATTCTGTGACTCTTTTCCGCGTATGTGCTCAGATTTTCCTTAGATTTCTTATGATTGTGTGCTAAGTGAGACGCCAAAGTGGTGCTCCTTTTACATTCAAAATCACACATGTCACAAGCAAAACTCATCGTACTTTTCTTTCTGTGCTTATACATATGCTTATTCAGATTCGCTTCACCCAAACATTCAAAACCACAGATCGCGCAATTGAGCTTCTTCTCCATTTTCACTGTGTCTTTTTTGTGTTTCTTCTTCACGTGCGTGTCTAAAGTCGCCAGTCTGTTACAGCTAAAGTCGCAAAACGTGCAAACGTACTTTGTTCCCTCTGAATGCTTTCGCGTTTTCAATTGCTTCGAGCGTCTTTGAGCGTTTATCTTTTGATACAGCATGTATCTCTTCTTCAAGCATTTGTCGCGGAACCATGAACGTACATTATGCGTCATCTTGTGGCGATTCAACATGGACTGTATGGGAAACTTTATATCGCATTTGTTGCAAATAAAAGTACCAATCGTCACTTTATGCAAATGCGTTGAAGAGTCCACGCAGCTATTGACATTACAGCCGATAGTTCTCTGATTGCTCAATTGATCCTCGGTCTCCTCGATTTTAATAGAGGTCAACGGCGATAGATTAAGTACACTCACAGCTTCTTCAGCTTTAGGGTTGTTCTCTAACGCCGATATCAATGAATAGCGCAGTTTATTATCGGCATCGGTATATTGCCAGAGTCTCATCGGTATCAAGTCTTTGCCGACAATAAAGCAACCGGATGCGTCCGTCTGCACGATCTTCTTGTTGCAGTTTTGTTCTCTAAAACATAATAAAATACAATGGTTAATTTCAAGAACGTTTTTAAGACCTGAATATCTCAATCACTACTCCGGGTCTATAAAAGCTGTTTTTACAAAACAAAGTTTGTATTCAACTCTCGTAGAATAATCTTGTGATTTGGAAGTGACAAATTTATTTATATTTATGGCTTAAATTAAAACTGTTCATCAAAAATGCGTTTTTTTTTAATGATCAAAAAAATAATTTATTAAGCATGGTTTAAAAGATGTATACTAAAACTAGCTATAACTAGCTATAAGTAATGCAATTTGTATTATATGTAACATAAGAGAAGAACTCTTTTTTTTTTGTATAGAAGTTTTAGTACAAATTTTAAATAATAGCTTAAACATTACGTTACTTAATAAATAAAATTGCTTAATAATAAATGTATTTATATCTAAAAAGTCTGAGTTATATATAACTCTTTTATCAGTCCATATTTTTTTTATATATAGTATCGAGATAAATATAAAATATATTAAAAAATTAAATATACATAAATTCAAGTAAAATAATTGTATCACACACACACACACATTTAGATTATCACATAACAGAGATCACATCGGTTTTTATGAGTCTGAATTATTTCATATTTCATACAGCTCTTGATACACATTTTCCAATCAAGATTCCACAATTAGATTAGTCTATCAATCTCTTACAATTAAACATACAGCACAATTCTCTCTTGTAGTATCTCTTTCTCTCACATGTAAAATTATTCTAGGATTAATACGTAACAATAAGATATGATGAGGTACAACGAGATATTCTTTATGAAACCATGATTTGCGTTCATGTCTGAGATACTTTCCCAAGAGGCATAGGTGGTGACGATAAGTGTGCATCCGGATGTTTTTTACGATGCACAATCATATAATATCTCCTCTTGAAGGCTTGCCCGCATAAATCACAAATATATGGCTTTTCAGTCGAATGCGTAACTAAATGCGTGTTTCTCATATGCGACGTTCTGAAACATTTTTTACAGACGTGGCATACGTACGGTTTCACGCCTGTATGCGTCGTCGCGTGATTAGCCAAGTATCTCTTCGACGCGAACGCCTTACCGCATTCTTTACAGTCGTAAGTTTTATTGTGCTGTTGCATATGGTTGTCCAGATTCTCCTGCGTCAAGAGCTTCTTGTTGCACACGTCACAGTGGAATTTGTATTCGTTCAAGTGCGCCACTTTCCTGTGTTTGTACAGGGAATAATTGCTTGTGTAGAATCTACCGCAAATGTCGCACATATGCTGAGAGCCGTTGTGCGTGCCGAGATGGAACTTGAGATCCCATTCTATCTTGAAGCGCTTACCGCAATGTTCGCAAGCGAATCTGTACTCGTCGGTGTGTCGCCTGATGTAATGCGCTTTCAAATTGCTTTTGGTTCTACCGCGATAGTCGCATTTATTGCAGCAGTGCAACGAGCTAGAATCCATCTCCTGATGAACAAGCCGGTGCATCTTCAAGTCGCACTTGTATTTGAAACTTTTGCTGCAAATTGCACACTTGAAAGGACGATGAAAACTGTGTTTGCTCGTAATATGGCGCAGAATTTTACCTTTTTGCTTAAATACTATTTGACAAATATCACATATATAATTTCCACTAACAAGTTTCTTATAAAGTACGTCTTCTCTTGTACACGTTTTATCAGTATGCAATAATTTCTCTTCGTGAATGGCTTCACTGAACTGCTTGTTGACATCTTCCGTTGTTCCTTCTTTAATTGTATCTTTTGACTTTATTGAATCAATGAATATTTTGGCATCTCTCTTTTCGCTTCTGGCATTTCCCAACTTCGACATCTGCCTTTTTCCAAGAGTAATCTGACATGAAATTTCACATTCATCTCTGTGATCGGGAACAGATTTCCTAAAAAACATGAATTATATACACATCAATACAAATTATTAGAAAAAAACTATATATCCAAGCAAATATAGAGACATTTTTCTAATCGCAATTGCCAAGGAAATAAAATGTACCTTACTTTATTAATCTCTTAGCAACTACACATTTAGAAGCAAATAATACTGTAATTTTGTTAAATAATTAAATATTTTATGCTGTGTTGAATATAAAATGTTACATGCGCACAAAAATTGCTATATTTTTATCTAATAAACTTATATTTACACTACAATAAATCATATTTGCTTTATAAAAAATTATTTCGTAAAATAACAGAAGATTTTTTAAACAATATCATCATTTTAACATGTAATTAGAATCGTCATTCTGAAAAATATATTCTGAACTTATTGTACAACCTATTGATACACAGCCATGCTCGTTAAATAATTAAATATTCGTTTAACATTTAAAAAAATAATAAATAAAATAATCATTTACGTGTTAACGTGTCTTCAAAATTTGTATTATTTGCTATCCTATATTAATATGTTTGCATACACTATACATTTTGTATTTTTGTAGCATTACGCGTTATATTATTGATAATGTTATATTAAAGACGATGGAATTTCCGTAACATCGATGTTTCCTTTTGGACGTTGTATGAAGCTTTGATCACAAATTCTGTAGATATATAGATGAATCTCCGCATGTCAAAAGATGCACCTTTCAGATAGCCATGCTTGCAAAATCTTTTTTACATATATGATACACATAAGGCTTCTCGCCGAAGTGCGCACTAATGTGTTTCCTCGATGTTGCCTTATGAATCAATCGTGCACCATATTCTTCGCATGTATATCTCAGCTCATGCTGCTTTATATGACTGTCCAAGTTCTTTTGAGTTTGCAACTTCTTCTTGCATATAGAACGTTGAAAATTCGCCTCTTTTACTTTGTGTTTATAATTCTCATGGAAAAAAGGGACATCATGTTTGCCATTGTTGTACCGCATATGTCACAGATACATTCATCTTCTTCGTGAGTGATGAAGTGCTTGGTATAATCACCTTTTATCCGAAACTTTCGATCGCACTTGTTGCACAAAATGTGAAAATCGTCCTTACGTTTGCGCGTGAAGTGCACCTGCAAAATATACTAAAGCGTTAATTGAGTAAGACGATATAATAATCGGAATTGAAGTCAATACTCTGTTCTGTTTGCTGGAAAACTAGAATTGTGAAAATATAAAAGCTCCGTTATATAAGACAATAAATTGTGAAATTTGTTTCAATAAATATAAAATAAAAAGTAATTTTAAATAAAAGCTATGTGTAATATATTTAGAAAATTTTATCATTATACTCACTTTTAAGTAGGAAGAATGTTTCGTGGAAAAATCGCAATATTGACAAATGTACAATTGCTTTTCTTTGTGAATCTTTACTTTATGTCTGTTCATGTTATGTTTGAAAATATCGCATTGAAATTCATAATAGTTACCGTGCTTCAACACGTGTCTTTTATATTCGGCCATTCTTCTATTAAAAGTAATGCTGTAAAACACATTTTTCTTCTGCTCGAACTTAAAAATTTGAGTCGCAATGACACTCGTGCCGTCTTGTAATTTACTTGTTGCGACATTAGGTTTCATTGCTGATGTTACACAGCTCTTCAGCAAAATATTAGAAATGATCCATCTCTTCAACAGACTGTTTGTCGCGACCTAAACAGTCAAAATATCATTGTTCGATAGTACTAATTCGTAATGTTAAGGCACTGATTTTCTCACCTCAGAGATGTAAACAGCAACTTACTACAATCGTCTTTAAATAAATAAAACATATTAAAATGTATTAATTGTTTTACTTTTTCACGTTTATACATCAACACCACTCACTTTACTATGTATATATTAAATTATAATCGCATTCTTTCGTTTATATAAACGATACAATAGCAGAAACGCTGCACAGTCATGAAAACAGCATACCATGTAACATACACACAAACACACGCACACACATACATACTATATAGTAACAAAAAACTTTCACTTATTTCAAAAAATAATAAAAATAAAAATATAAAAATTCTTAGTCTAGTAACAAGTACTAAAAACCAGATTTATATTTTTCATATTACATTGGAAACTTTGTTATCGTGAGCATTTCATTGACAGCTTAACATATAAATTTCATAAATGTATAAGCTGTCAAAGTATATCAATACAATAATATATATGTAATAATAATATATGTCATACAAACATTATATGTATCACATGTAGAGAATAGGAAGAATATATATTGTATATTAATTAAAATAATATTAATAAAAATATTAATAAAGTAATACTATATTTTAATATATTAAATCTCAAAAATGTATATCTTAATTTCATTTTCAGCAATATGGAAAAAGACCATTCCTTTAAATTTGGCACGTCTAAATTATGCAACACACAACAAGTTTAAACTAAATAATTAATCTTCATGTTCATGTTTAAGTTTGTGTTTCAGAAAGGAAGCTTTATATTTAAATACTGCATCGCAGCGATTACATGTAAAACTTAGAAAGTGTCGTTTCAAATGTTTGTCGAGTAATTCAATCGTTCTAAAAACCCATTTGCAACGAGGACACTTGAAATAGCTTCTTCTTTTCATTAAGGCCAAAATTACGATAGAGCTTCATACAACTTTTGTCATTCTTATCATTTTTATCATCCTTGTCATCCTTGTTATCCTTATCATCTTGACGCTTACACTTGAGTTGCGTAAGATCTTTCTGATCACACACATTATAAAATCCAGTACAATCAATCTCCATATGTTTCGACAATTTCTTCTCGTTCTTGAATATTTTAGCACAGAGACTGCACGTCAATCCATTAATGATAGCATGTCTTTTTTGATGGCACTTGATGTCTGCGGCTGTAGTCGATTTAAAGTCGCAATCTGCACAGCAAAACAACTTGGTGTCATTGTGTAATAACAACATATGAATCTTAAACGACTCTTCGGTTTTAAAACGAACTTGCTCACAAATTGGGCATTCATATGGATATGTAACGTGCACTCTCATATGCCTTTTCAGGTTGTAATGTTTCTTAAAATCTTTTTGGCACGAAAGACATGTATACGAATTTAAATTTTTACTATCAGTTTTTTCTAACTTTAATACTGGTTCTTCTTCTTTTGTATTTTCATACACTTCTTCAGAGTTCTCCGTAGGTTCGTCGGGTTCAATTTTTATTTCCATTTTTTGCAAAATATATGATGACTCGCTTTCGCCTTCATCTTTGAAACATTCATAAGGAGTTGATATCGGAACAAGATAATATTGATCATTTTTTTGAACCATAAGGAATTTTTGTTCAAGAGGATCACGTGGCACAGACCTAAAAGTAAGAAAAACAAATCAGTTTGATAAAATTACAGTGTTTCTTGACATATGGTATACACATATATACATGCTGTCTATTATTACTCTGTAAAGAATCTTCGTATTTCATTATTAGACATTAATAGAAAATCACATAATATAAAATAGTCAATTAAAATTTTAAAAATATGTTGCCTTTATATTAAGTATTTTTATAATTTTTATTGTGTGTTTATTATATGTTTAAATACTTATTTCTTTGTACGAATAAAACAGAAAATATACCAGATTTCTGTTACACATTTTTATTATCCATCTACTATTTTATTTTAAAATTTAACAGTT